ATACATTTTTATATACAGAATATTTAAAAAAATAAAAATTGCAGTAATTATAGTGAAGGTTTTTAAAAGTTCAAAAGCTTCCTGGTAGACTCTGTATATTCCACAATGCCCTCAGAAGTTTATAATGTTTTACTGAACCCACTGTGTGACTTCGAAAGCCCTAGGAAGGAAATGACTGCCTTAAGGAACTCAGCCTATCATTCACATAAATTGAATGAATTTCAAGCACTTCTTATGGAATGAACAGGTACATCAAGAGAGAAAATGGGTTGCCCAAGAAAGCACTTAAAGACTTACTTGAGAGCAATTTAGCAGCCAAGGTTTTGTCTGAGATTGTAACCGAGCAGTTAGCAGTGGAGTGTCATGATAAGAGATGGCTGAGGTTGCTAAGACTCAAAAGCACAAGCTTGTGGGTAGCAGAATCCTGAAAGGCAGGAGCAGGAGCAGTGCTACCTGACTGCTGTCAAGTGGCTTTGAAAACTGTGCTGTAAAAGCTGCTCATCACACATAGATATCTGCATACTCAGCTTGACAAACCCACTCCAAAACTCCAGTATCACCCACTGCGGCATGGGAATTGTGACATGAGCTGTAATCTCAGGCTTTCCTTTCTCTGCTCAACAGTACCAGCTTTAGTTTGGAACTTTATCTTAGGAAATTATAGAGACCTTGATAAGTTTGGGGTAAGGTCTATGTTATCACATCAAATTGCCCGTGTGGACTACACAGCAGAGATTTGGTGGCATCCTGCAGGATGATTCCCATGCATTCCTGTCAAGTGGGCCAGATGGGATCCCTTTGCAGGTACAGCTTTCCTTTCATGCCTTTTCCATGTGTAAAGTCATAACAAGCAAACACATAGGTACTTAAATTTCTAACTGAAGTGCCAACTGCAAAACCGCTAAGGGTGCAAATAATGCATTTTTTTCTGGAAACTCTTTTAGCAGGCAAAAACAATGCCTGAAAATCAGAAAGCTTGAAGCTCTCTGCAGGTATCTCTGTGTATCACTGACAGTAACCACCGAAGCACTTAAAAGTGTTCTGCAAGTAATAGGATCTAAACTCTGAGCTTTCTATACTGAAGGGGAGAAAGTATTTAGGGAATGAACATGCCCCTTTCCATGAATTCCCGTCACCGTGTAAGTTGAATGATTGGTCAGTTTGAATGCCTCAGCATGGTCCGGCCCCTGAAGTAGCTCACTGACAAGTTTTATAGCTTCATCAGGATTCTCATAATACTTCATGTTTTCCTTAAAGACCTGTTTCCTGGTGTCACAAAATCATGCCAAAATCTCACTTTTCATCTCCAAAGCGCATCTTGTCTTTGGTATTGCAAAGAAAGGCTTGAAAGTACTACTTAAATGAAACTCAGATATAAAAGTAAGGATAAATGAATTAAAAAAATTAAACTATTTTAAGGACCAGTGTCAGAATTTTTGAACAGGAAGTGATTTATGGTTTTTAGTGGTTCAAATTTGCAATTTCTAGAACAAAATAAACTATTACAACTGCCAAAGAAGTGCATAGTGTAACTAGGAGAGCACTGAACCTCAAACAAGTGCTGGACCTGCCTCCTTCAAACAAGTGCTCCTCAACCAAAATGAAATAGAATAGGTTTAAAATAGAGGGGGAAAGCCACCAAAATTCATAAAAATCAAGTTTGGTTGGAAAACTGAACCCAGAGGAGATGGTTTAACAAACTTGCCAACAAATTTAATAGGAAAAATTCACCACTGGCGACCTTAACATACAAGGTAGTTGTGCAGGTTTTCACCTGTGAAGCAAAAAGACAGAGATCTCCAGTATTTAAGTCAGGCATATTCCTGGGACTTTCAGAGACTCCTACCTTCTCAGCAGGATGTGATTGATGAGAATGAGACAGGCAGCAATTGTTGGTCTATTGTAAAAGTTCCTTATCTGTAAATTTATGGGCAGAACTGGAATTTGATGAATTTCAGGTCATGACACAAAAGCATTTCTTAACCTTCATTCTTACTTTTAGAAACATATTTTCTAGCAACAAACAATTTGATTTGTATATTCTATTCTTGATTTAGTCAACTCATTCTGATGGCCAGAAATTTTATGAAAACCAAGTTTTTCCACATTATTTTGATTTCTGTGTGTCATGGTAACCAGTGGCAGTAAATAACAATACTGTCTAAACACTTTCAGGACCAGATTGTAGCTGGACAAGGGCCAGCATAACAGTGAGAGGAAGCTTTGCAAGGACAATTTAGCAGCAGATAACACAAAAAATGTCCTTGAAACAAAGGAAAATAATCAGAACAGGTGCAAGAGCAGCAACTGAAACACAGACCTCTGAGCACTCTGCATAGGAAGAAGAGCAGAATAAAGAAGGTACAAGGCCAAAGCTATTGTTGAGCTAAAAATTCCATCAGTATGTTTGATATCTTTTCTACCTCAGAAAGTGAAGATTCAGTCCTATAATAATGCAGTGTGTTTCTTACATGGATTGAGTTTAGAGAGACCATGCTGAGGTTCCTGGCCAGCCATGGATTCCCTCTGGACAGCCACTGCTGTCTCACTCCTGCTCGAGGAAGAGATTCTCATTTCATCACACCTGCCTTGCATGTTCCTCAGTCATGTTTCGTGAAGGGTGGTGCTGCCTGAATCTTGAACAACACTGATACTTTTCACCCTTGCTTATCAATATTGTGATGAATCACATCACAATCACATACCATGAATCATATAGCTATTTCTGGACAAAGTGAAATTTCAGAGACTTTGAGAGAGGGATTAAGGGTGTCTTTGTCTTCTCCATCATCATTGTTCCTAAACCCATCTGGGGAACAGACCTTGGAAACGTCTGGGCATTGGTGGTAGTTGCAATGTTCTGACACTCTGGATGATGCAGCAAAAGGATGTCTGGGGGCACAGCAAGCCTTCTTTGTGGTCAAAAGTAGAAACACAAAGGAGTAGTCAGATCCTCGTGCTTGCAGTAAAATGAGAACTGTGTTGACTGAAGCCACATCACAGCGTTAGCAGGTTGCTGAATGGCACAGCATTGTGAGGTTAACAGATCAGTGCCAGCTAAACAATAGCTAAGATGAGTCCAGAACTCTTTTGCAAACTTAAAAAGCACAGTATGGAAATGAAAACTTTTCTGCAAAGTGATGATACCGTAATCCATTATCAAAAAGCACTGTGGTAGAAAGTACTAGAGATAAGGCACTTACTTGTTATCTGAGTCTGAGAGGAACCTGGGAATGCCAGGTAAAAGCAGAGAGTTACTCATAAACCTTTTTATAAATAAAGGGATACGAATTTGATCTGGAATTAATGTTTGTAAGCAGGTTGTGTAGCTAGGGAAGCACTTTAGAATTCACCTTCAAGTATTTGATTGCTGTAGTGGAGCCTGGTTTTTTGGCATGCAGTATATATTTGGTGCATAAAGAAATACAGAGCAGTATGACCTTGAGGCAACTAATCTCTTCTAAGGCACATGGGTTTTGAATGGACATAGACATAATTAGAGTTTTTAAATTACACAAGGCATGCTCGATCTTTTCATCAATGTATAGATGGAAGAAAGTGTGAGAAGGATCTCTAGGGGACAGAAAAGAACTCCTGCTTTTTAGAAAAAGCTTCTCCCATGTTCGGGAAGAGGTGGACCTGTTGAATCTCAGGTCTCCTCAGCTTGTTGCAAACTGATATGAGAGTCTGGTCATGAGCAAGGAGAAAACTGTTAATTTTGTCTTAATCTGAATCATATGTACAGATTTAGCAAAAGGAGAACCAAATATCAGCCATAGTGCTACTGCTGAGTTTATAGAAAGATTTGGAATTAGATTTTTACCTTTTCTAGACAACTTTTCTATCTACTGCATTTACCAAAGGGAAATAAAAAGGAATTCTCACATAAAGTTCTGTGTCTTGCTTGAAAACCAGTATCATGTAGAATTATATAAATGGTACAAAACTAAACAAAGAAATTAGAGTCCAGTCATAAACCTAAAGTAGAAAAACTCCAGGACTACAGGGGCTGATACTAGTGGCATGAAATAAGGCCCCAGAAAACAATTCCAAATTGTACCCTGTCAATTAAGTTGGTGAAGAAATGATTGTCTGTATGTTTTTACTTTTACTTAAGGTCTATATCAAACAATAAGGAGAGAAATATCCTCCTGTTTTTTGGAATATTTTTTCATCCTCCCTTTAAAAAGCTTCAGCTTTTTAGATGTTTTGGGTATTCTTAGTAAGTGCTATAATTAAGAGTAATTCAAATTCTATCTGCTCTTGCAGAAGCTTACATTTCAGACCAGTTTCTTACCTCTCAAATAGACGTGGTCAAGTACTTCTCTTTTGCATTTAAATTACAAATTTTGGGGGTTTTTTTATAAATTATAATCCAGTAAAGATCATAATTTGATTTATCAGCATTGAGTTCAGATTTACTCTAAGTGGGGACTGTTTTATACCACACACGTAACAGGCTTGCCTTGATTCCAAATACAAGCTCAAAAGAAAACAAATGGTAAGTTTAAAAACAGGATATTGCAGATAAATAAATACTAATTGAAATCAATACAGTCAGGTTAATTTGAATCAAGTCAAGATCCAGACCACATTCTGTAGAGCCATAAATGGGAAAATAAATAGACATCAATATTTTTTCCCCAAAACTACCTTTCTGAGAGTAATCACAGTGCCTAAATGCTCTTAATTTAATCATTCACTGGAGGATGTTACAGGTAAGTGCTCATAATAAACAGTAGGTGTTTCCCTGAGGGCCATGATGGTTTGCATAATGTGCAAGCTATTTATTTTCCAGTGTAATGGTGACAGAAAACTGTTACAGTACAGCTAACTCTAATGTGAAATTTCATAAATGTCTTTTGCTAACTAGAGATCTTGTTTAAGTTCTGAGTTTCATAGGCTAAAATAATACAGCACCATCATTGCAACCACTGCTGCTACATATGATTCAATTCCTTTTTTTTAATTAACTTCTGAATGTTCTATTCTATTTATAGATGGAGATGTCGAGAGCCCCACAGCTGGAGCAGATGTGGCTGTTATTGGAGGTAAGTAACAGACCATACTAAGCAGCACTGTAAGAATTAAAACAGCAGGTTGGTTTGCATTTTGCAAAACCCCTACCTTGCTGACAAGACAACAGGAGTGGCCCAATTAGAGTTAATTAGACCAGTGGGAAATCTGCTCCCAGAGGGGCTATTGGCAAGATAACAAGATGAGATAATGAACATAAACCATATACTGAGCAGTACCACTCCCATCCATTCTCTTTTTTAGGACAAAATACCTAACAGTCCAACAGCAAAGTCAGTGTCTGATACCCTTCATTATTCACTGGGTCAAGCCTGTCTTTAATACAGAACTGATGTAGCACCTTTGATCTGAGCAACCTTAGCTCATACCAGCTGACCCTTTGTTATTACAGAATTCACCACAGTATATTTCCTGGTGTTCTATTAAAGTTCTCTCACACATTTAAACTAAATACAGTTGTCAGAATAAATGAGCAAGGCTATGGTCATGGAGAGAACCCTTCTTTTTATTTTTATTGTGTTTGTTCATTTCCATGCTAACACACTAATTTCAGTCATTCACAAGGGGCTATACCAATCATTAGTGCAAATTGGTGAGGTTCTGCTATATTTCCCTCAGGTCCCATCTCCGGTAACTTTAATTTCAGCTTTCTATGAACAAGTAGCAGGTAAATTGATTTGTACCTAGTCCCTTAGGCTTATTAATATTGTGCTACATCTAAAGCCAACTAGAGCCTCTTGTGTCAAGGGATACCAGTGAGGTCCTAAAAACTGATGAAGCCCACACTGCAACCATGATATTATTGTAAACCCAAATTTCTTTGTATAAACAATTTCATTTCTGCTAGCAGTAACTTCAGTGTTCAGAACCAGGCACCATGAAATCTAAGGGATAACATTAAGGCATATATTTTAAGGCAGAGTTATAATCTTTATTTACCCTGCTAACATTCTGTCTATTCCCATGTTTTTATGCCAATAGGGTATGCCCACTCCGTTTACAGATGCTAATAAATATGAAGCTCCTGCCACATGTCTTGAATATAGGATACAGAAAGTGATACTGTCTACCTGCCCTTCATTGTCTCTGCAGAGTAGTAGGCATTTGCAGGGAGTAATTCATCTGACAAAATGAACGTACTCCATTCTAGAAGAGGAATGACTGCACACACACACACAAACACACAAACACACATACGCTCTCTCCACTGACAGCAGAGGAAGCCTTAGGAATGCCCTGTTCTGATTCTTCTTATTGTGTATTTCTTTGATGTTTGGTTTACTACTGGAGTCATGAACATAGAATCAGCTCAGTATCATGTACAGAATCACAGCTGAAGTGTTTATAAGCATATCCTGGATGCATGCAAAAAGTGTTTAAAAATTATAAAAGTCACACAAGTTGAATAAACTTCAAAATACTACATTTAATTTCAGGATTTTTAAGCAAAGAATTTGATCTAGGAGGAAGGGAATAGCGTTTTTAACAATGGACTTGTCAGAGATGCCTCTCTTTTATGGAGTTTTACCTTTCACAGTAGAAAAGGATCTTGATTTACTTTTCTTCACTAGGACTGCTTCCATTCACCATTTAGTCCTACGCACATTTGGGTTACCCCTAGAAACTTTTGTCCACTGCACACATTGCTGTAACTAGCCTTAGTCCAGGAGACAGGAAAGATGTACAGGAAAGATGTACCCAGAATCCCTTCCTTCTCCCAGGTGTCACTTGTACATTCCTTAAAATCAGACTTTCTTAATTAGAGCACAGCATAAAATGGCAGCTTGCAAATACGGAGCAGTACCAGTCACACAGCTCCTACTGTTTGTTGCATGTCTCCTCAGAAATACTCAGTGCCCTGAACATCTCCTGAAACTGAGGACACCTGAGAAACCAGGGTCAGGTTATCTGCAACTCCACTACCACCCCCCACCCCCTCCTCGCTCCTCCCTGGGGTGTATATTACCAGAAGGATGAAAGAAACCTATTGGTTTTCCTTTATGTTCTCTTATTTCTCCTCATTTTGTAATGAATTTTCAGCTGCAATGAGCTCAACCAAATTGTTTTGAAAGAAAGCTAGTGAGATTTTGTCCTGTATTCTTATGATACACAGGCTTTTTCCTATGAAGCAATCTAAGCTGTAATGTCTGGCTGTGAGATACTTCTCATATTTTATTACCGGTGACACATTTAACGGATCTCTTTCCTCTAGGTGTGATTGCTGCAGTGGTATTTGTCCTCATTTGCCTGCTGGTGGTGATGGTTCGGTACATGTACAGGCATAAGGGCACCTACCACACCAATGAGGCAAAAGGAACTGAGTTTGCCGAAAGCGCAGATGCCGCTTTGAAAAATGACCCAGCTCTCCAGGAAGCAGTGGATGAGAGCAAAAAGGAATATTTCATCTGAGAGGCAAGGATTTCCATGGAGGCTTCCCCAAGGGAATCAATGAGAAATGTTACATCAACAGAAGTGCTAAGAGATGGATAATAGGATACAGGCAAGCATCCTAATTGAAAAATATCTCTTTGCTTTTTTTGTCACTGGGTTGTTTCTTTTCCTATACCAGTGAAAAACTCTAAATGCCAGATACTTGCCTGTTGATTTTATTAGCAACACAGCTGGTCACAGCTGAAATCAATATCAGATAAGAAGAAACAAAATCTCAGTATGAGTGATATACCAAACCCAGATAAAGATAGCAAATGTCAAGCCTTGACATTTGGTGAAAATAGCAGATGCCAAAGGAAAACATCCTCTTAGAGTTAATGATGCATCCTATGTTGATATGATACAGAACTACCTGAAATTGAATTTCAAATGGTAACAAAACAAACATTAAACTAGATAAAGCTGATGTAGCTGGAACAAAAAATAAATCTGTAGCCCAGATCTCTCCCCCCACCCCCTTAAATGTGCAGTTTTATTTGCCCAGGGGAGTTTGTTTTGTTTGTTTATTTGTTTTGGGATTTACACTGGGAATTTTTTTAAATTTTTGAATTTTATATATACAAAAATCAAAGACATTTCACAGAAATAAAACTGTTGGAAAACATGGAAAGGTAAAAATGAAGGATTTATTTCTGGCTTTCTCTGCACAGCAGCTTGAGAGCTGCAAAGTGTTGGAATTTACAAGGTAGTATATAATAGTCAGTAGACTTACAAATATGATTCCAATTAGTTGGCAGGTTTTCTGCACACGTGCACAGATATTAAAAGGTAAAGCCTCCTGGTTTGAGCAGGCCTTTTGAAACAATGGAGCTCAGCTACATTTTTTTATGTAAGATATTTTGCCTGAGTATTTATTTATTTATTTTGCATTTGAAAATTCTCTTCAATGCCCACCAATAGGATTTTGGATTTTTGTAGGGAGAGGAATTCAGTTCTAGTGCAGATACCAATAAGTGTTTAAGAAATGCAACCATATGACTACCAGTATAAAGAAACTTTTTCGTCTGCACCCCACTGATTTCTCCCTCTCTATGGCTTTTGTATATCCTTTGCATTGTGCTAAGCAAGAGAATTACACTGACCATTGATGCTTTATTATAAATAAATAAATATACCAGTCATGGTGGTCACATGAAAAGATCTTATTCCTTACCTAAGAATCGACGGTGATGAGTTTCTCTATCCCAGTAAGTTGGCTTCCTAAGTGAAGCCCACAATTAACTCCATAAATAGGAAAATTGTTCTCTGCACCTGCTCATCCACAGCTGTGATGGTGCCCTGGACTACTGCAAATAGAGGAGAAGAAATACAAGATAACAAATAAGATGACGATGAGCTCTGCTCAATTTGATATATTTTTTTCCTGTGTTTGGATCTATATATGTGTGTACACATATATGAAGTCATCTACATCTGTGCTTTCAAGACATTGTTGCAGATTACTTGTGCTCATTTCTTGGCACCAAAGCTTGGAAAGCTCCTGGACTCCAGTGTTCATTATTGACATTGGTCATAAAAATGCTGTAAGACAGATCTGAACAAGAAAAGACTCTGAGGACCCAAGTGAAGAAAAACGAGACATTTTTGTCTTTCAATCACAATCTCAATCTTTACTCAGTACCTAGAGAGGATGGACTCTGAATTATTCTTAGAATTAATCTTAGCTGTAAGACTGAATTTTTAAAACTGAAGATCCCTGACCCTCCAGTTCAATAAAAATGTGAATATTTCCTCTGAGAAGAGGATAATTGGGATGGCTTGAGCTCTGTTGCATCTCCCACACAAGGTATGGGAACATCAAAGAACCTTCCTCCAGCACTAGCAGGACCTACAGAGGACTACCAGCCTTTTGTCCCCTTTTGTCCCCCCACGTAATGTTACTACAGCTGCTAAAGAACTTTGACTTTAAAGGAGGGTGTGAGGGACATAGGAAATAAATTCCTGCTTGTTTCCCTAGTCATGAAATTCTGGCTTTTGCCACTTGAGCCAGCTGATTTTTATTAAACAGCTGTGTCATACTTGATACACAGGAGAACCTGACTTAGTGCCTCTTTTGGTGTGGGTGTGAGTTTTTTAATTATGAGGTAGACTTAGACAAACTGCCATATTGAAATTATAGAGATCAGGTTTTGTAGTGGTACAACATGAGGTCAGTGGACCTCAGCCAATTCTTACCAAATCAGTCAACACCCGACTTTGTGTTATTTCTTCCCCTAAATCTGAACTGAATGTGACTTCTGGTCTTTGACTATATCTGTTCTTGATTAACACTCTTTATCCCACTTTCCCTTTTTATCTGGGCGTGACAAACAGTCCAAGCATACAGGAACAGCTTCCCTATCTGTAATGAGCCACTTTGAATAGTTCTACAGCAGTAACTCTGGCAAGAGCTATGGTTTCAGTGAGTTTATTTTTTTACAAGGTCCTTCTGGGCCCCAGGGCTTTGCATATTTAGAAATTACTCAAGCATACTGAACAGAGACAAGAGATGATTTGTGGAGATTTTCTGTTTATTTGTTTTCTTCAGGAAAAATTTTGCTTTGTAATGAAGAAAGCTCATAATATCTGATGACTGGCAGACTCTAATGGCCTCATCCTGCTGCTTTTTACTCATATAATAACTCTACTGTCTTGAGTCACTCCATTGAGTTGTAAAAAGAGTGTATTAAAAACTTCCTATAACTTTTAAGACTAATTAGCCAAACATCCTTCTGCAAGCAGCATGCTGTGCTAAAACAAACATTTTGTACAATGCTGAGACATCTCAGTTGGCAGCCATCGCTTTTCATCATTGATGATTAAGTGATTTTTACAATTTGTTTCCTGAATAGAAAAATTAATGAAACAGATTCTTCTTCCGCCACATACTTTTATCCCAGGTCCCTCCACTGCTGTGGCCTGTTGTCCTGCAGTTCTCTGGTGCCCCATCTCCTCACCTGTGACTGCTATTCTTGCTTGCAGTCCCCCAGGCTCCCATCTGGATGCTTACTGCCTTCCCTATGGCAAAGATTAGCCATTTACTTATGTATTTATTTATCCATTTTTATCAATTAAGATGCTCTATCCCTCTCTGCTAACCAAGGACCAATTTTCAAAAGATTTTATCTTCAGATTGCCAATGCTGTGTAAAATTTTGAGCAAGCCTGACTAACCTGACCTGAGACTGATTTACAGGGTGATCACATATGTTACAGTTTTACAGAAAATGGGTCAAAAAACAGCACTGCAAGCTCTATAGTTGTTAAATTTAGTGCTATAAATCTCCAGTGTTTATTAAACAAGGGAGTAGTACGATGATCCCTCAAGTCACTTGAATTTGTCCTGGTGCCTTTCTGCCCTATGAAAGCTTGTTGAATCTCACTTTGCATAGGAAGTGAGAGGTCCACATTTAGAAATATAAGTCATTTATCAATGACGTACAGGAAAGCAGTGTACCAAAATGACCAATATTTGCTGAAGTTGGAACAGAGAAGATAAATATGATCCTGTAGGAACACAGGACTTTTTTGAAGATATATGGAAATGACAAGAGTTAAACACAATATTTCCGATTGCATTGGTGAGCTTTAAGAATAGGTCCACGGAGCTTTCAAATTCCCTCACTGAAAAAAAGTAATTGCTTGCAAAGGGAAATTAATTTCTTTTTAATCCATTTCTTCTTATCAAGCTTTGAAACCAATTTTCACAGATTCAATATTCTGACATTCTACCCTAACATCTGGAACTCTATTTCTCCTAATTTTTTGAGCATAACTGACAGTTCTCCCCTGTACAAAAATGACTGGTTGCCCATCTCAGTCCCTAAAGCAGCATTACAACTCAGCAGAGTAATTCTGTCTAAAAGAACTCAGTTCCAAATGTGTGTCTGACCACACGTTAGCGGACACAGCATGCATTTTTTTTCTGGGTCTTGGCCTCTATCATTCCAGGTTTTCCTGAGGTCCAATGAGCCATTGCCCACTAATACAGTCCTGAGGAGAATTTAATCATCCACTAGTCAAAATAATTTTATATATATATATATATACAATTTTTTTTCTTTTTAGTACCAAATGGTCTTTTTAGGACCAAATCACTTTGGGATATTATTAAATATAGGACCATAGGATTTCTCAGAACACTAACATCAATTTTTCTGTTAAATCAAATCTAGGGATCATTGGGGAACATCAGGACAGGGAAATAAAAAGGACTGTGTTCTTTCAGCAAGGAATGCAGACAAGGTGCTGAAACATTTATAGCTCCAGGATAAGCAGGACAGCACCATTAGCTAAAGCCTGCAAGAATCCCTCACAGAATAGAGGAAATACTGAAACAAGATGTAAATCAGTAAAAAGATACAGAGCAGGAGAATGTAATCAGATGTCAATATAGATGGAGAGCAGTTTTTCATCAAACAAAATAGATATTCATGTTTAGAGAAATCAAAGTGTATTTGCTGAAGGTAACTGGTGACAACAAATTTCTTTGAATTATATGAGACGTTTGGATTCCTTGCATGTGCAAGTCTAATCAAAAAATGCTGGTAAATACACACCAAAAGAATACTCACATTAAACGCATTAAGAGCTGTTTATTTCATTTTCTAAAACCTCTCAGTTCTTTGCACAAAATGAAATGTATGTTTAGAAAACGCAGAAGCCTCACAGCAGCAGTTCATTCAGGACAGAAAACTAAAGAATCCCTGAACAAGCAATGAGCGCACATCTGCAGTCTGGAAATTCAGGCAGTTAATAAAGGAACATAAAGCTATCGAAGAACAACATAGATGGTGAGCAAAAATTCCAACCACATTACAAAGAAATTAAGTATTTTTAGCACTAGAGATCTTTCTCTAGTTCAAGACAGTAGTATTGTCAGTGACTGAAAATAAGGAATCCTTATTCTACATGCCTGTTGCCTATGTGGTTGGGGCAAAGTCTCATTGAACTCAGTGGAACACAAATTTCACTGACTATATTTATCTTTCCTGCAAAAAAAAACATATTCCCACCCATGTCAGAAAGAAACACAGTAAAATAGAGTACAATCTTTATAAGTGCTGATCTTTCAGCATAACTTCTTGTCTTCACACATTTTTCTGTTGTTTCAAACTGTATGTATGGAAAGTATCTGACATGTTGTACTGAAGTATATTTGAATTGCAGCATTGCTATGACAAGAATAGAGAAAAAGAGCTTTCAAAGCTTACTGCTGACTTTATGTTAAAGCTGACTATAATGTTTGTATTTACCAAAGCTATTAATAGACTGATGGTGTAAATCTACTATATTTTGAATGGAGTCGGTAGGGGGGAAGGAAAAAAAGGTAAAATATGAAGAAACTAATGAACTTTATAATTAAAATTGTAATTTTCAGCATTTAAAAGACTCTTATTTTTCTTGTCTTGAAAATACCATGAACTTTTAGAATTGGCAATTACGTTGTTTTCATAGGAATGTAGATCAAAAAGGAATAGTGGGTGAGAATGTTTCTTAATAAAGCACACAAACCCTAAAAGATATACTGCTGGGGTTTGCATTAAAAAAGTAAGAGAAGTTTTTGATAGATCTAAGAAGCAGTGATTCTTTAAATGAGAAATCAAACAATAATTACCTCTGAAGTAACATTAACCTGTGGATGCCAGTGTGAACCTGTGCATTACTCTATTATCTATTCTTAAAAATTCTGGGCAGATTATAAATACCTAATGTCTATTTACTGTTGAATGACCTGCCTTCCACACAACTGGTACCAACTGTGAATAACTCTGCTTTGTTCTTCATGCTTTCCATACAATTTCTCTTTTCTCTTTATATATCCCCAGTTAAAGAGTACTTAGAGTGTATGCCTAGTATAAGAGGTATTGTAGTAGAATCATACAATCATTTAGGGATCATGAAGTCTAACCATTAACAATCTTGCCACTGCCACCCCGTTCTTTCAAAAGTCACTGCTGTCACTGGGAAAAGGTCTTCAGGTGGTATGTTATCAGGTCAAAATGATGCCTCAAACTGGTGAAAACCTGAAGGACAGTGGATCATCTAAGTTTTAGTATCTGCAGAGAAGCTGCAGTAAGAAGAGCTATTCCAATGGGCCTTTCATGTGCCATAGGATTTTGATGTGTAGGACTATTTAGAGGCCAGCACCAGCCAAATGGTTCATCAGCAATGTTTGTGCAGAGATGGTAAGCTGAGAGGTAAGACTGCTGAAGACTCTACACTGATCCTCCACCAGCACATCACGGAAATTTGACCTTGACTTAATACCACATAAGACAACAGGATTATTGGAGCATCAGCAGCCCAAATCTGTGATGCATTTTACTGTTACCAGTGGCACTGCATGGCAAGCAACTCCACAGAGATTGGCCATAGGCTATTCGCCAAGAAATAATTAAAGTATGTTCAGAGCAAATTCATGCTTTATTGATGGCCAGTAGTTGACAGCTTACAGCAGAAACAAAGAGCTAAGTAAAGGAAAAATTGCCAGACAAGGGGAAGTACATGTAATTAAGAGTTTTCAGCATTAAATGCATCATCTTACATGTACGTATGATTCACTTCATATCTCTTCTATGGTTGGTGCTGAAACTAAAACATATTTTACAGCATATTTTGACTACACTGAGAAAAGGTCCAGACCTTGCAGTGAAAAAACTAGTTCTCAACAATGATCTTGATTAGCATTTCTATCTCAACTTAAAAAAACCCCAAAGTATAACACCTAAACCTTTTGCAACCACTATCTATCTATCTATCTATCTATCTATCTATCTATCTACATATATATATATGTATATATATACACAGAGAGATGTTTCCTAATTTCTGGTGCTTGATTAATGATCATTAAGACCTGAGTGGTCACTCAGTTTCTGGTATCTTGAAAAGAAAGTACTTAATCTCCCTGAGGGATTGCTAGCAGATGCACTTGGAAACACTTCTCAATGTGACATATGGATATTTTAATAAAATGCAACTCAACACCACATTGTTAGTTACTTGGAACAATCATCTTTATTCATTATAACACCTAATGGAGTGATCAATAGCATTTTAATAAAGCCTGCTGTAAGGCATATTTAACATAAATAAGATTTTATATTGTATTTTGATTAAATTACACTTTCTGCCATTCTTTACTGTCAGTTTTTGCTTTCTTCTCCATTCATAAGTCTTTGTTTCACAAATGCATGTGTGACCCTCCAGGCTCTCCATACCTTTTCTCACATTCTTGTAATGTTCTGCATAAATAGAGCCTTGTGCTCAGAATTTCTTCTATAGAGCTCAAATATCTCAATTCCCTTCTGTTCAGCAGCAGCCCAACTTGCCTACCAGAACAAAAGTTGAAGAATCAGATATTATTACATCTCTCAGTTTTCTAGTTAAGGGATAAAGACCGTTGTTCCATGAAGGAAGCTCAGAACTCTTTCAGTCTTTCTTCATGCATGACATGAATGATGCTTCTGACACCAGGATGCCAAGAAGCAAATTGAAAAATGGAAGGCAGAGCGCAGAATCAGGAACAAGCTGATTCCCCTGAACAGCAAGATGCTGAACACTTGCCAAAAGCCCCCACAGAATTATTTTTCTTAGTCTTCACATACAATACCTCTCTCCCCTTCTTCCCTGCAAAAAACATCTGGCAGCTGTGTTTAAGTTTAACCAGATCCCTCGTCTCTGCGGCTTCACTGACTGCAATGAAAAATGGATTACAGGCACAAGAATAAGAGCAAATAGTTCAGAATCAGATTACTTTAAACCTTATCTCACCTACCAAATCAGCTTACTCCTTGCCCCACTTGGTGGTATAAGTTACATGGACCTTGAAAGCCTGTCCCCACTTTTTTCCTTTTTCTCCAGCCCTCAAGTCCAGTTTTCATCCTCTCCTGTTGAAGGATTAGGAAGTTTCTTATTAGACTCTGGCTGACCTTTTCATAGATCCAATTGCAAGGGAGGGAGAGGATTGTTCTTTGTTTGATTGTGGTGGGGTGTTTTCCCATACAAAAAAAAATTGACTAAAAAGTTTCGGCAAACCCCAGTCGGTCAGGCATTTTTGTAAGGAAGGTAGTGGAACAGTTATGAGTGAAGGTCACTCAGCCTCCCTCCCCAAAGCATAGAGACATTGATGATTTAAAGAAAACATTACCACAATATTGTTCTGACATGGATCAAACAACAACTTTTTTATAAACCAATATCTTAGTCAAAGTTGAATTATTTTTGAAAAAAAAAAAAAATCCAGAATGTCTTATAATTGTCTATTCTCTAGTATGAAGAGTAAATGAAAAGTCAGTCTGAAGAAAAAGTATTTTTAATCAAACAGATGAGTGAAAGGTCATTCATTATTCACTAAAACTATTATTCTTCAGTAGTTTTGTGTTGTATAGTAAAATTTGATAACACTGCACAAAGACAAAGTAATATTTTGTTTCATCTTCCCTCTGCAGGAGCATTCATGGAATGTGTTTTTGTCATTTTAGCTAATAAACATCTTTCTTGTGCAGTGTCTTCCCAGATCTTGCTCTCTCTCTCTATGTACATTGTAGTAAGGTGGAGCTGAGAAAATATATATAATCATTCATTGCCTATCTCTGAGGCCAGGTAGAAGTTTCCATCTTCCAAGGGCTCTGTTTGGTTTTATTGGTATTATTATGGTAAATTAAACCCCTGAGAAAATGTTATACAGTTTCTTAAGATTGTATATCTAACATGTATCTCTCTCAAGCTGGCATTCCCAGCCAAAAAAAAAACAGGGTCTACAATGAACAAAAATCAAGAATGAGAGACTCCATTAGTTCTTTAAGGAAGGCCTCTGAGCATGCCTTGATTTGCCCTGGGACTCTAATAAAGTAGGAGCAGGGAGGATATGGGGCTTGTTGTTTGTTGGTTGATTGGTTGTTTTTTTGTATTTTTATTTAGCACCTTAGCTGATGAAATTCCTGTTAGGAGTAAAATAAAATGACCCCTTCAAAGATATACAGCCTTCTGCTCCAGCTGCTTGAATGCAGAACATCAAGATAGAACATACATGTGCCCATTCCTATTCTATGTCAGTGGCTGCTGTGGCTGCTAAAATAGTCTTATGGTCTAATATTAAGCCCATATATAGAAATTTAAGCTTTTCACCACCGTTCCCATTAACACCATTTTGAACAAATCAGATAATTATTTGTATCCCCAGGTGTCTATGTCCTGATTTTGGATGGATCATTTAGTAGAGATACAAGCTCTGTAACAGAGCAGCTGCTTCATCCCACCATTATCACAAGGAGCTGTGCTTTCTCATATTTCTCAGATCTCAATAACCTCCACACCAACATCTGCTGAAAACTTGTGAGGGCCATCAGCTACTGAAAAAATGCTTTTTAAAGGGTCTTATCACCTCTAATTGAAACAGCAAAAATGTACTCTGCACTAAATTTAACAACAGCTGGAAGAGGCCACAGCTGCTGGGCGGAGTCCAGAACTCGCAGCAGCAGCTGGATCAGAGGTGGTAAAACCAGAGCAACCTTGGATCTTGAAGTGCTGTGATGGTGGGTGAACACACAAACACATGGACCTGGGAAGGCAATGAACTGTCTCCTTGTACCTTGGGAACTGTGAAGGGAGAACTCACATTGCTTAGCACCTGTGTTGTGTAAATACAGCTATATACTTGTATTCAAGAGCAGAGAGGCCATGGAGATAGTCTGAATTAACCCAGCACCTATCTGTTGTTGTTCAAACTCAGCTACAACAAAGTCTACAAGAAATCTCTTCTGACAGCTGAGTCAGAAAGCAGCAGGAATTGATGCTAGTCACTCACTGCTAAGATCAAGCTGTGGATCTCACAAATATTTTATCACCACACAGCTCAGAAAACCTCTCCTTGAAATTCTCTGCACCTGCACAGTGATAGGCAAAGTCCAAGCAGGATCTCCCTGTAAAAAGCTTTTTTTCTTGTTATTGAATCCTGAGTTTTGACACAGCACACAAGCAGCTGCTATAAGCTAACACAGATCCCTTCACCTCAGTGTAGCTATTTTGACTCAAACAAAAAAAACCCTTAGCATTGTAAATTGGTCAAGGACCAATGAACATGTTGAAAAATGAGATCTGGATGAGGAAGAGTTATGAAAAAGCTTGAATCCAAGACTTAGGATTATGTGTACTTTTTGTTAGGTTTCCAGTAACTATTCATGTAGCAATAGGTAAATTGTAGAATTAAAATGACCTTAAACACAGCAAACAAACAACATCTTTGAAAGTAGAGGGTTCTGATCCTTTCTAAATTATGTTGGCACAGTCTTAATTTTGCAGAACTGATGGCTTTTGTTTTATCTCCTCAGCACAGTTAATCTGACAATGTGCTACTGTAATTATAAACCAAGGCAAACTTGCATACATTCTAGGGAGAGTATTTTTTTAACAGGAAAAAAAGGAAGAAATATGCTATTGTGCATTAATGACTTCATTAAACAAATTTTTCAGGATTTTGTGATGGGAAACTGAAATGATGGGGAAGAATTATCTTCTTCAAACATCTGGGAGCAGAACACAGCTGGCTCTCTATTGGAGCCTGGCACTCAGCGTGCTATGAGACATACTTCAGTACATAAGAGAGGCTCTTATAAAGCTGAATCATTTGGGCAATTAACACTTGAAGCAATTTTCACACAAGCCCTTGATATATGAAATTTGAGGTTTCCATAAGTGACAGGCAGGCTGCATGCAGACAGCTACAGCTTTGCTGTAGCACTTCAAGGTTTATGAAGGGGAAAATGCTTTCAAAGATGGAAGATGCTTTAAACAAGTTTTTCTGCTCATTTGAAAAGGAGAGCTTACTGACAATGTTTTACCATTATAGGCCTGTCTAAAGTTAGTTACCTCACAGGAATATTCAGATCAAGGAGAAAATTTTGAAAGTTTTACATCACAAGAGTATAATCTTTCAGGGGACAAACAAATAATTTTTAATTGATTTTTCACCCACCTCTTGTGTAAGATCTTGCATTGGGTGTAAGCTGAAGAGTTTCTCTTAAGAAGGCAATTGTTCACATTTTCTGTGGAAAAGCAACAGCTTATGGTAATGGCAGCAAATTGAAACCGATGAGAAAAAGATATGGGTTTTATAAGTGCAATTACTTTTGATCAAAATTCCCAGAAATTAATTGATTTAGAAAAATACGTTTAAAAAATCCAAATAAATTTAAGTTGCCTTATAGTGTTAGAAGGTCACATACAGTATAAATCACTGACTTAGAATTCCCAGAGATCTGGGAATCGACTGCTGGGTCTATCATGCTTCGAATGGCTAATCCTGTTCATATGGCAAACAGGAGTTACCGTGGTCAGGAAAGGAGGGTAAAACTTTGAGTTAGTCACAGACAAGAAGATTAGAAATGGAAAATAGAATTTGTTCTACCATCACTCATAACCCAAGCGCTTTGCAAATTAAAGATATCACCCTTAAATGTAAAGCATAAAATAAAAGGAAAATCAACATTCTTCTCTAATCCCTTCAGCCTATGAACTGGGAGTGAAGGTTCACTGTTCATGAAATTAGGTTTTTTATTTTTGAATTTTGGGGAGATGCCTTTTTTTCTCTCTCTCTCTCTTTTTTGTTTGTTTGTTTGTTTGTTTGTTTAATTAAGTGTAGGACTGAGTGAAATAGAAACCAGAAGAATACTCTAAATTCTGCTGTTCCTTTGGTTCTGCAGAGACGTGATTGCAGGTACTCTTTGAACAGGAATATAGTGATTTAGTAACAACACAAGGA